TGAATGGCAGATTTCTTATTCTTTAGATCTCAGGACTAGTAGGGCTAATCCTTGGGAAAGTTCTGAATGAGATGAATAGGAATGGCACCACAACACAGTACTACCCATTGTAATGTCCTGTGATAATTCTCTTTGCTAATACTCCAGTGTGACAGGAAGGTGGTACTTAAGTTAGGAAATAATGGAATATTATACCTCCTGAACTGAATAGTGATGCACAGCTAATGTACTACCAGTTCACAGCACATTGTAGGTTCTCTGGGTGGGATATTCATTGACCCATATGTAGTAAAACTCAACTTGTTTTTTTCCTGATGAACATACTGAAGACTGACCATTCTTGAATTCTGAATATTCAGAGTAATTTTTTAAGGAAGGGGGTTGATCAGCAGAAAGAGGGAAGGTTCTGTATAGTGTGTGTTATATCCCTTTTGCTGCTAAAACAGACCTCTTACTAATTATTCTTGCATTATTAGGTCAGATCTATCTCTAAATCCACAGATCTGCCATCACTACTGCTTAGCCCTGGCCTTGAGGAATATCCATCAATTAGAATAGATACTTTCATTCTCTTGAACAGACTAAGTTGTTGTATGTACATACTGTTGTGTGATACTAACAGGTAGAGCAATTCCCAACCTAACTACAGTATGGCTTCTTCTGGAAATGCTTCCATTTTGACTCCTAGTCTGTCTTCTTACACACATTAGTGTAAGAGAAAGGGGAGAATTCCATATTTTTGCATGCACTCCTCTGGTGAAATTGAATGCAAGGGACAGAGGAGCGATAAATAGACGTAACCAGAGCTCATGGGCACCTGTGCTAATCTCGTTTCATTCATTCTGATTTAATATCCCGGTTGAGGGAGTGATGTCATGCCGCAGCGAGGTGTGGGGGAGGTGCAGTTGCAAGAACTCTCTGCGTCTCAAATTGACAAATCCTGAAAACTCAGCTTTCAATATTTTAATAATTATCTAATCATAGAGGAAATATTTGTCAAACATGGTTAGTGGTGGATTTTTTTTGTTTGCTTTTGACCTGATATTTACTGCAGGAACAGCAAAAAACACTGTTAGATCAGAATTAGGGGTTAATGAAAGCAAGGGTCTCACAATGAAGATTTCTAGGAAGTAGTTATGTGGCCAAGGACTGCATGAGCAAATCTAATTGGATAATAAACTTGAAAAGCAAAATTTTTAAAATTCAGGATTTTTGGAGGAAGTCAAACCTCAGTTTCACAGAGCTGATTTAAAAAAGAAAGAAAAAAAGAAAAACATGATTCAGATATTATGTTTTGCATTAAAATTGCTCCAGGATCGGTTCAGAAATGAAATCCTGCCATTTCTGTCTAAATACCTCAGCCACCCACCCAGTGTATAGACTCATTTTTCTAATTAGCCTATACACGGGGCTGCTTAATTGGCCAGTTACCAGGGCATGAAATAGAAAAGATCTTTTTATGTACTTGAGTAGGAGCCAGAGAGAGAAAGAAGGGAGGGGTGTACTGAAACACTGCATAACTGACATGGGTCTCTTTCAAGTATAAAAACCCTGCTTCTGTATTGGCACTGAATCAGCCAGAGATGATCAGTGATGGACAAAGAAATGAGATCTACAATTAAGGGGTCAGTGCTGTTGAAAGGTCCTAAGGGTGGTTGGTTCAGTCAGTGATCTTCAAATGGGTTCTTCAGGGATAAATCTGCTAGTTTATTAGGTGTTCCTCAGTTAAAACATATGTAATAGCTTCCCTGGAACACACTACAAAACTCTCTTAGCAGCATGCAGGTGTGGGAAAGTCTTGGGTGTGGTTTAGATCCATAACTTTCTACCTTTCAGGGACACATCTTCAACTCAAGAATCATTGCAGGACTACTTTTCTTTATTTTTTTAAAATCATATATTGGTAAAATCATATATTGGTATCACTGGCACAGCCCTCTGTGTGTTGTGGGGCTTGTCCCACCACTTTGAAGACTTAGTGTTATAGTCTGATTTCTTAGCAGATAGTAGTTAGGTTCAGTATGTCTAATCAGTGTCTGAAATGCAGACATAACACACATGGAAAAATGTTACTCAGTCTTCTGCAACATAGGCTGTCCTTGACAGAGAAATCAACACAGGAATTGTTTCTGAAGGTGAACATTTTTAAAATCATTGCTCCAAGCAACTCTCTTTACTTGGTCCCTCTTAAAGCAAGATATAACAACACTGGCAACTGTTCAGCCTGCCGTTTCTCAGATGACAAATCTCACTCACATGTGACGGCTAAAGATTCTCAAGGGGACTATTTATAAAAGAGGAGTAAAATTATCCCTCAGAGCCCTGACCAAATTCCAGTACAGGTAATTTATTTCCTGCCTTTCTAGAATTACACACACACATACTTACTCCCCACCTACCCCCTGCAGATTCCATTTATTTTATTTAGCACTGTGTGTTTATCTGCTACTTCCCGTCACTAAGATACTCAGTTGTTTTGTAATCAGTTAAAAATTTGCAAGCTGAAACAAACCTATGCTGCTTGCTCGTGCACTGGGAACGATGGTCTCTAAAACACCAAAGAATAACATCAAAAAATAACATGGTCCTCTGGAGAGACTGGTGATTTTTATTAGGTAGCCTAGGTTCTGTAACATGTTTGAATCAATGGGTGATCCTTTATCAAACAGGCAATATTGAAAGTTGCTTTTGGAAATAGGAAAAAAAATAGTGAATGGAAAGTCCAGCCTCTGTTATTACAGTAAGAACTGAAAGAATGAAGTGATTAATGCTTATGATAAATGAGCTGACTCATTAATCTCTGGTTTAAAATGTGGGTTTTTATTGGAGCATGCAGTATACGCAAATTGATGTTCAGTCTTGACAGAAACATTGTTGTAAGTATCCTGTGTCTCTTGATTTAGGTAATATATTTATTTTGCCAAAGTCTAAGTGATTTCCTTCTGTTGGTTTATATAATTCTTTTCAATTATTCATCCACAAAAACAGTACATTACTCCAAGCATCCAGAATACTCATTTGGACAATATGTTATAAGTCTGAAGAAGTATTCTAGAAAATACTTGCTTACTCTTTTGACAGATTTTGGTTGGTTCTAATAAAAGTTGCTTTTAGAACTATGGGATCTAGGTTTGAGGTTTTTCTTCTCAGTTGTTTATTTTTAACAAACCAGCTTAAACAAAGAAGAAAGAATTGTATCCAGTTCAGTTTTGATACAAAATTTGCATTTCCTAAATAAATGCGCAGGCTAGGATATAGTTATCTTTTAATATTCACATTTCTCACAAATTTGTGATATATTTGTCTGAATTTAAAGAAAAAAACACAAAATAAGTATTTGGGACAAAAAATAATGTAAGGGAACTATTGTAAACATTTGGATTCGAATAACATTTTTATGTGGATTTTTAAAAAGTTTCAAAATGATGTGGAAAAGGGATCAAATGGACTAAGGAGGAATGAGAAACTGAAATTAATAATTTTGTTCATTCCTCAAACCATACTTCCTTTGCTCATTCTCTTTCTCTCCCTTCACATTAATATTCGTTTAACTATGTTACTTAACTGAGTATTAGGTTGATAATACTAAGACAATACAGAAATCATACACAAAGTGTTTTATGCAACAGAGTTGTAAGAAGGTAAAAGTGTATTTGTTCATTGGAAGGACTGATAATGAAGCTCAAGCTCAGATACTTTGGTCACCTAATGCGAAGAGAGGAGTCTTTGGAAAAGACCCTGATGCTGGGAAAGATTGAAGGCAAAAGGAGAAGAGGACGGCAGAGGATGAGATGGTTAGATAGCATCACTGAAGCAATGACCATGAAACTGAGCAACCTCAGGGAGACAGTGAAGGACAGGAAGGCCTGGCGCAATATGGTTCATGGGGTCACGAAGAGGCGGACAAAAGTCACGACTTAACGGGATAACGACTAAACAACAACAACAAC